GTGAGAGTATTTTTTTTTTCATGTAAATGACTCAATAATAATAAAAAAAAAAAGTATTCAGGTGTAATCCAAAAGTAAAAGAAGTAAAATATAAAATTATAAATAGTTATTATCCAACAGCAGAAACTCCTAAGAAAAGATTTGGATTTGAAGAATACTTTTTTTTTTCTTTTAAAAACACTTTATTTACAAAATTCAAACCTATAAACAATTGAAAAACAGTGATTGACTGATAAGATTGGGCAACAAAAATAGTCCAGGAAACCATCGTTTTAGTCCAGGCATGTTTTTAATCATTCTGTTGAAACATGGTTGGAAATTTATATCTGATTTTAATTAATTTATTTTTCATAGAATTCTTCATTAATTTTGTGAGATTGAAGTTATTTTTCTTTGACCATTTTATTATTATTTTTTCTTTCATCAAACGTAGGGGGGGACAACTATTTTTTTCCACCTACTTTGTAATTATTTTATGGAAATATTTATCTTTCATTTATTTTAAGATATATTTATGTGTTTGTTCATTTATTCATTCATTAATTTATTTTTAAATCTTTTCCTTTTTTATCTTTTATTCTATAAATCTAATATGATTTAATATTTTTTTATTGGCTAATTTACAACACAAGTCATCTCAAGGCACTATACAGATAAAAATAAGCCCTTCTTTTTTTCAGGACTTTTTTATATCATCTTATGCTGTTATATTGAAATGCGGGGGCAGTTTTCTCATTAGGGCCGGTGCAGCTTATAGCTTTAACCACCATAGATCATGTTTATCCAATCAAAACATTTAGTTTTCTGCAATATAGAAATACTGTTAGACATTTTGCACAAAGCTGATTTTTCCAGTTGAGTTTATCATCAATAATAAATCCAGAGAAATCAAACTTTATATCTCCAATTAAATAGTTTTAGGATATAGGCTGCTCAGTGGCGCAGTGGGTTGCACTGCTGCCTTGCAGCAGGAAGGTTCTGGGTTCTATTCCCAGGTACTCCAGCTTCCTCCCAGAGTCCAAAAACATGACTGTTAGGTTAACTGGCTAAATAAACTAACTAAATCTCTAAATTCTCCTTAGGTATGGAGTGGGGACCTGTTAAGGGTGTACCCTGCCTCTTGCCCATAGACCAGCACGCGTTGCAACCACCACTTGGGATTAAGTGTGTTAGAAGATGGATAGTTTTAGGATTATAATATGATGGTTATGTACAGGAAGGTTGAGATCCTCAACAATAACCTGGTTTTGAACTGTAAACCCAGCTTTATCTTAATAACTTGTAATCAAAATCTTCTTGGTGCTAAAAGAAGCAAAAAATGCAACCAGCTTTATAAAAGAAGAAAGTGGGATTTCCTCAAACACAATAAAGTCGACTTATAGTTCCAGAAAATAATGAGGGATGTGGTAGTCAGGGTGCTAGACTGAGCTACAAACACGCTCACAACAGTCAGAGAGAAATTTAAATATATATATTGAAATAATACAAAAAAAATTTTTTTTATCACATGTACAAAGGCCCAGTGGATCCCTGAGGGACGGGGCTCAGGGACAGGATGGATCCCTGAGGGACGGGGCTCAGGGACAGGATGGATCCC